AGATCTGCTCTGTGCTCTGTCTTCCCCGCCCTACGCGTTTCGATGGCTGAAAAAAGCCAGCAATTCCTATCGAGACGCTTCCCGCTGACTGGGAAGACCGCTATGCACTGAAGAACGTGGCACAGAGAGTGCTGCGCAGGAGGAAGGGGGCTGTGTTTGTACGCTCGGGGGGCTGTGTTTGCACGCTCGGGGGGGGGGGGGGCTGTGTTTGTACGCTGGGGGGGGGGGGGGGGGGGAGGGGGCCAAAACGACCCACGCCAACGGAACCCAAAACAGCCCACACCCCCGGAACCCAAGACATCCTACACACACGGAACCCCGAACAGCCCACACCAACGGAACCCAAAACAACCCACAGCAACGGCACCCAAAACAGCCCGCACCACCTGAACCCAAGCGAACCTGCACACACGGAACCCGCAACAGCCCACGCCAACGGAACCCAAAACGACCTGCATCCACGGAACCCAAAACAGCCCACACCACCGGAACCCCAGACTACCTACACACACGGAATCCCACACAGCCCACACCAACGAAACCCAAAACAACCCACAACGACGGAACCCAAAACAGCCCACACCACCGGAACCCAAAACAGCTCACACCCCCGGAACCCAAAACAGCCCACACCACAGGAACCCCAAACAACCCACACCACCGCAATCCAAGACAATCTACACACGCAGATCCCCATACAGCCCACACCAACGGCACCCAAAACAGCGCACACCACCGGAACCCCAGACTACCTACACACACGGAATCCCACACAGCCCACACCAACGAAACCCAAAACAACCCACACCGACGGAACCCAAACCAGCCCACACCACCGGAACCCCAAACAACCCACACCAACGGAACCCAAAACAGCCCACACCACCGGAACCCCAGACTACCTACACACACGGAATCCCACACAGCCCACACCAACGGAACCCAAAACAACCCACATCGACGGAACCCAAAACAGCCCACACCACCGGAACCCCAAACAACCCACACCAACGGAACCCAAAGCGACCCATACCAACGGAACCCGAAACAGCCCACAACCCCGGAACCCAAGACATCTTACACACACGGAACCCCGAACAGCCCACACCAACGGAATCCAAAACAAGCCACAACAACGGAACCCAAAACAGCCCGCACCACCTGAACCCAAGCGAACCTGCACACACGGAATCCCCGAAAGCCCATGTCAACGGAAGCCACAACGACCCACGCGCACGGAACCCAAAACAGCCCACACCACTGGAACCCCAGACTACCTACACACACGGAATCCCACACAGCCCACACCAACAGCACCCAGAACAACCCACAACGACGGAACCCAAAACAGCCCACACCACTGGAACCCAAGCCGACTTGCACACGCGGAACCCCATCATACAGCCCACACCAACGGCGCCTCGTCGCCAGGGCTGGATTCGCTTCGGAATCTTGGTCAGAACGCGCTCCAGGACGAGGGCCGGGGGACCCTTTTTTATTGCGGGCCCCTCCGAGGGGGGCCGGGCCGGGCGAGCCCCCTCCAGAAATCCAGAGCAAGAAATTCTCATCTACCCGCATTTTCATTTGGGTGAGGCCTCAAGCCGCGGGGGGGGGATGAGTTTTGATGAGAAGAAGGAGGGGGAGGAGGATCTCTCTCTCCCTCTCTCTCTCTCCCTCCCGCTTTTTGTTTAGATCCGAAGGCTAGGGACCGCAAACAGAAAAAAAGCAATCCTACGGCGTGTCACAACCCTTTGGGAGAGCCTGGTGGATCGGGCGGGGGCATAGCTTCCCACATGCCTTCCTTAGGGGGGGTCTCAGCGAGCCGATACCGCTCCAAGGCGACCCAAGAGGATCCCAAAATCGCCCCAAGACGGCCCAAGGCGCTTCAAGGGGAAGGGGAAGGATGGAGAGGCTCAGGCTCACTCGGGCCTCGGCCCGCCCGTAGAGTGGGAGATGCCACTGAGGGGGGCGATGGCCCGATGGCACCACCGCAAAACTCGAGGCCGAGGAGAGCCTTGTCTGGAACGCAGCCGGCACCGAGATCTGCTCTGTGCTCTGTCTTCCCCGCCCTACGCGTTTCGATGGCTGAAAAAAGCCAGCAATTCCTATCGAGACGCTTCCCGCTGACTGGGAAGACCGCTATGCACTGAAGAACGTGGCACAGAGAGTGCTGCGCAGGAGGAAGGGGGCCACCGCCGTCGCCGCTACCGCGGCCCTCTCACGGGGCTGGCGCGCCCGCTGCGGGGTCGTTCTCGAGCGTCGTCGGCAAGCGTTGATCGCTCCACACCCAGCCGTGCTCCTGTCCATTGAACTCCGGGACGCCGTCCGTGCCGCTGCGCGGCCTCTGCGCGGGCTCGAACCAGCGGAAATCGGCCAGCTGCCAGCCATACACGATGTGGCCGCGGCCCAGCGCCTGCAAGATGGCCTGCACCTCGGGGCCCCTGCCCGTCACGCAGTGCTCCGCCTCCGCAGCGCGGAAGGCCAACATGTCCTCGTACTCCGTGACGGTGGCGAGGCGCGCGGACCCCCAGACCTCGCCCCCGCAGAGCAGGAAGATGCGCTCCCCAAGTTCGACGGGCAGCTGGTCCCGCGGCGTCCGTTTCCACGGAGGGTACTTGCGCACCTCGATTGTCTTCCGGAGCGGCACACCGCGCACGCGCTTCCCGCGCATCAGACGGAGCCACTTCGCCTTGACCTTGAGGCCCGCGTAGGTCGGCATCGCCCCGCGGCCTGAGAGTCCGACCTCGAGCCGAAGAGCTTGCACAGAAGGACCACCAGAAGTGAGAGCTGCGACGATCGTGGAAGCTCTTAGACTCTTAGTGGACCTCCAGCGCTGTCTTGGAGGGTTCCCATGGGGGACCCGGGGGGGGCCCGGGGGCCCGACCAGAGGGGGCCCGCGGCGCCGTGGGGGCCTCGGGCCCGTCGCCGCGGGGCCCACGGGTGGCACGGGTCTCGGTTGCGCAGACATGAAATGAAATAAAAAGTCGGCGCCTGCGGCGGGCTTTCGATCCCCATTGATGTTTTCATGGAGTTGAAACTCGGCGCCTGCGGCCAAGACCACAGCAGCCCCTCACTCCTATCCACAATTGCGGGGGTTATGGTATGCCTCCTCCTCCTTCTCCTCCCCCTCCTCATCGTCATCGCCGTTGTCTCCATCGCCATCATCGTCATCACCATCATCCTTCGAAGAGTTGCCACCCAAAGCGCTAGCAACACGGAGCCCTGGAGCTCCGCTGCGGGCCCTCCCCTTAGATGCGCCCCAAACGCACCCAAGCGCGCTTAGAACGCGTCCAGAATGCGTTCATACGCGCCCGAAACGTGCCGAAACGCTTCCAAAAACGCGCCCGAACCGTTTCCGAAAACGTGAAAAAAACAGACGCCCGAAACGCGCCCGAAGTGAGCCCAAAATGCGCCCGACATGCGCCCAGGACGCCCCAAAAACGCGCATAAACGCCCCAAAATGTTTCAAAAACGCACAACAACTTGCCGAAACGCACAAAAAACGTTCCAAACACTATCAAACAACGCTCCAAAAACGCCCCCAAAAGCGCGCCAAAACGCAAAACAAAACAAAAAAAAAAACAGCAAAAACCGCAAGACATGCAAAAGGGTTTCAATCACGTACTATCAAAAACCAACCAAAAACATACAAACACGCTTCCAAACACACATCAAAAAACGCTTCAAAAACGCTCCAAAAACGCTCCAAAACTGCTTCCGAAAACGCGCAAAAAAACGCTTCAAAAAAACATCCGAAAACGAGCGGAATGAAAACGTGCCCCAAAAACGTGTCAAACAAACAAAAAAAAACACAAAAAACGTTTTCAAAACACATCAAAAACGGTTCAAACAACGCTCCAAAAACGCTCCAAAAATGCTTCCAAAAACGCGCAAAAAAAACGCTTTCAAAAACGCGCAAAACCGCAAAAACGCAAAACGCGCTCAAAAAACGCTCCAAAAACAGAAAAAACAAACGCTCCAAAACGCTCCCAAAACGCTCCCGAAACAGGCCCGAAACAGCCTAAAAACGTCGACCATAGAGATGTCGCTTAACGTCGGGGGAGCGCCCCACAAGACACGGGGGCTCTTCGGTCCAGCGGAGTCCTGGGCCCCCAGGTCCGCACGGCGCTCCTCCGGGGCCAGCTCGCTGGACTGAAGCAACACGATGAGCGTTTTCTCATTCGGCGTTTCGGCATCGGGCGGGAAGGGGGGGGGGAGGGGGGGTCTGGCTCAGGACCTCTGCTTAGCGCCACTGTCTGCAGCAGCGCGCCCTGTGGGGGGAGCTCCACCGCCTCGAGACAGGCGCCGAAAACAGCCAAGATCTACTCCAGGGGAGGGGGGGAGGCGAGGGCCCGCGCCGATCGGCAAAACACTGAATTCAAAAACGATCACATGCGCAGGAGGCATTGGGGAAGGGGAGGGGAGGAGGAGGAGGAGGAGGAGGAGAGGATGAGAAGGAGAGGAGGAGGATGAAGATAAGTAGGAGGAGGAGAAGGAGGAGGAGGAGGAGGAGGAGCAGCTACACACCATCACCACCACCGCGCCTGGCCAGGGCCCTCCTGCGCGGTGCGCACGCCCCCCCTGGCGGAGGCCGGGAGGGGCTACACACCATCACGGGGCGCAGGGTGGCCCTCGCCGGGCCCGGTGGTGTTATGGACGCCTGCCGAGGGCAGCGTAGGGTCCGCACAGAGGGGGAGAAAGCGTGAGGGCGTCGGACAGGTGAGCGTTGTCTTCGTCGGCGTTTCGACATTGGGCGGACAGGGGGGGTGTATGGCTCCAGACCTCTGCTCAGTGCGACGGTTTGGAACCATGCGTCCTAGGGGGGAGGGTCCACCTGCTTGAGAAAAGGCGCCAAGAGCAGCCACGATCTACTCCATGGGGGGGGGCGAGGGCTGGCGCCGATCGGCATAACACGGAATAAAAAAAACGATCACCAGGTGGGTGCAGCAGAGGTTGTCTGAACACACATTTGCCGAGAGGAGCTGCAGAAGCGGGGCCACCACAGCTCGTTCGTGGCCCGCCAGGGCGTGTAACCGCCAACCCCATCTTGAGGTGCTCGCAGCTCGCGGCAGCTGCCGCCGTGGCCGCGGCGATAGGGCAGCGAGGACGAAATATCCCCAGGACAGACAGACGAGACCATTCGGGCCCCAACAGCCCTCCCTTCCAGAAGCCCGAAAAAGGCCAGGAACCTCCAAAAACCTCCATCCTCGATCCTCCTCCTCCTCCTCCTCCTCCTCCTCCTCGATCCTTGGTCCTCGACTAAGGCGGAGGCACAATCCAGCTTGGAGTACCATGTGGGGCCTGCTCTGGAACAGGAACATACCGTAGACGGATCTCCCCTTTCTCGGACCTTGCACCGCGCCGAACGCAACGACCACGTTGTCCACAAATGTCTCCACCCCGAAAGTGTCTATGGACATCACGGCACCCAATGTGTCCGTAGACGCTTCTGGCTAGGACGTGAGAACGGTAGTTGGCATTGGCCCCAGATATTGGTTTTCTAAAAGCATGTAGGCTTGGTCCTCCAAAATTCCGCACAAATTCAACAACAAAAACTTCACAGGTACGGCCGGCGGGTGCGTAGGTGATTTAGTGCGCTTCCTCTTCCAACCTCCTAACCCCTTCCCCTTCCCCCTCCCCGCTGGGGGGGGGAATTGCTTTCTGGGGAAAGGCATGGCTCTCTGGGAGAACGGTTGGTTCTCCTGGTGAGCTTTTGCCCCCTGGCGAAAGGCAGGGTTCTCCAGGTGAGACCGATGCGGACTTTCTGCCCGTGAGCGGAATACCCCGAACACCAAACCCTAAACACAAACCGACAAACACCAAAGACCAAACACCAACCACCAAACACCAAATATCAAACATCAGACACCACACGGCAAACACCAAGCACCAAGCACCACACACCAAACACCAAACACCTAACCCCGAACAACAAACACCAAACAGGAAACCCCAAACCCCAAACCTCAAACACCAAATACCAAACACCAAACGACCAGCACTAACACCAAACAATGAACACACAGCAACAAAGCAGCACCAAACACCAAGCACCAAGCCCCTAATCCATAACACCAAACACCAAACCAAGTGTCCCACTCCAAACACCAATGCCACGTTCCAAACACCAAACACAAAACCCCAATCCCCAAGCACCAAACACCAAACACCAAATGCCACGCCCCAAACATCAAAAACCAGACTCGGAACACAAAACACAAAAAAACGTAGAACACCAAACACAAAACCCCTAACAACAAACACCAAACATCAAACCCATCAAACCCCAAACACCACACTCCAAACACAAAGCACCAAACACCAAACACCAAACACCGAACCGCAAACCCCAAACATCAAACACACAGACCCCAACCCCACACACCAAACACCAAACCTCATGTCTCACACCCTGTTACGAGTTCTATTTCTGTTACTGACAAGTACCACTTCTACATGTTGTGCCCCAAAAACTAGTGGAAGTACCATCGCTCATTCTTTTTGCCCCTAAGCAATAACTCGGCTCACGACTACGATCAAGACTTACGAATGTCATCACGGCCTACTTCTGCCACGGCTACGACTACTACTACTACTACTACTACTACTACTACTACTACTACTACTACCCCTACTACTACTACTACGATTCCGACTACGACTACGACTACGACT